TATTTTCGGATTTTACATTTTTCATAACATAATGTGAATATATGTCTCGCGTCTGTGGTTCACCTCTGAGTTTATCCAGCTGTAGTGGGTACCCGGCGCGTAGCTGTTTCACTTGTCTCAGTCTACACAGCTCTAATGGGTACCTGGTTACTCGCGCATGTAAATCGAATGGGCTTTAATCTAGCTGCACTATTCTCTCATACAATGAGATCAAGAATTAGGATAAACTCTACAACTTTAGCCTCATGGGCCGACTGGTCTCGACGTTTCCTGGGGTGATGCTTTAACTTCTACACACAGAGACAACACAATATGAAGAGTGTAAAACTTTTATAGAATCTAAACAAAATGTCGTATATATACATATATACATATATACACATATATATATATATATATATATATATATATATATATATTATACATATATATATAATGTGTTTGTGATTTGGACAAAGATTAGCTCTAACATATCTTACCCCGCCAGCATTTGGTGGCACCCTATATACACTGAAGACACCAGAAAAATTAACCATCCTGAAGAATGTAAGTGTCCACTTCATACCTAACATCTGGGTGGGGCTCCATGACATGGTGACTGAAGATGTTTTTCAGTGGGTGGATGACGGATCTATCGTCTCAGACAGCTGGAGGAAGGTGATCTTTGCCCCAGGTACATGGCTTCCTTCACATTTTTCAATGCTCACTTCTTTCTTAACAGTTATCTAAATGTAAGCTGAAGCACAGCGAGACACCCCGGCGCCCGTGGCGAACATCCAATGGTGTGCCCCCCCCCCCCCCATCCTTTCTGTTCTTTTGTGTAAAAACAGAATGGAAAATAATCTAATGCCATCAATAGATTTATAAAATAATTAAAAAATGACCAATAGGTTTGTCTGACTGCAAAAAAAAATTCTAAAATATGGTCACAATGAAAATCTGGTAGTTCCAGCCGTAGGTAACCATGTTGTGCATCTCTGTGCTTATTTTCAGCAACAAGGGCCTAAATGTTGGAAAACTGGAGCCTTCGATTTCTAAATTTTTACTTTCTCGTATATACGAAGAATAGAGAAAATCTTGTAATCGTGCAAAAAAAAAATCGAGATTTTTCGATTTCTCAAAAAACGAATTTAAATTTATAAAGTACTAATAATATTCCGCACTATTATGCACATTTTATTGGGCGTTCACTGGTGTGCAATTCTTTTTTTCTACGAGATTTTATTCTATTTTAAAAAGTTTAAGTATTTAAAATGGATTAAAATTCATGTCTATATCCCGAGTTCCCATCTCCTGTTTTTTTATATAAGAATATTCCAGAAAGTTTAGGGGAGATCACTCCCGGTTTATTTAAATTGGGTAAAATTATTTATAAAAACGTTTGCATCATACATTGACCTTTTTACTTTCTCGTACATACGAAGCATAGAGAAAGTCTTGTAATCGTGCAAAAAAAAATCTGCCTTTGTGTATGTGTGTATTTTATGTTGACCGGAATTAGTAATTTAAGCTATTTCTGATTTCTCAAAAACGCATGTAAATTTATAAAGTACTAATAATATCCCGCACTATTATGCATTTTATTTGGCACTCACTTGGTGTGCAATTATTTTTTTTTACGAGATTCTATTCTATTATAAAAAGTTTAAGTAATTAAAAATGGATTTAAAATATTGTCTATGTCCCGAGCTGCCACCCCCCCCCCCCGTAGTGTTATATTAGAATATTCGAGAAAGTTTAGGGGAGATCACTCTCGGTTTATTTTATGTGCTGTTTTATAGCTCCTTGACTATAACTACTATGGTAAAAAATGTATCTGTGTATGTATAATATTTTTTTGGCATTTTTCCCCGTTAATTTTATATAGTCTGGGTGATACTGTCCACTTAACTATTATGAATAATATTTTTAAAATATTTACTACTTTGTTACTTTTTAATAATATGTGTTGTATGCGTACATTCTATTGCATATGTATAGGCCTACACGTAATTAACTATATGTGTACACATATATGTACATTGTTACAGCTAAATACTTTAAGTGAATGTGCACCTAACTGACTCTAAATTTAGCCATGTATTGCACGTGCACATATGTATACATTCCAGGTGAGCCCAACAGTTTTAACGGCGATGAGGACTGTGTGATGTACTCACCTGCGTACAGCGCTCTAGTCGACAGTGCCTGGTGATACTCACCTCTACCTGTGTCAGATGGAGTGTATGTCTTAAGTCTTGTCACAGTAGACATAGTCGACACAGTAGTTAACTCAACCACTATGTTACATAGTCGACACAGTAGTTAACTCAGCCACTATGTCACATAGTGTCACATATTGGACACAGTAGTTAACTCAACCACTATGTCACATTATGTGTATAAATGTTAAGGCCAACCTAATTTCTGACCACTAAATAAAGGAAGACAGATTTGCAACTCAACACGTACGTTTGTTTTATTACAAACTATTTTTCTGTTTCTTTTTTACAAGCTTTTATTTAACTCACTTCCTCTGTCGTCAGTCTGTCTAGACGGAAACGCAGGAGTGAAAATTCGGACAGTTCTACTTGACCGATACGATTCACAGTTGGCACGTGGGTCAAGACATGAAGACAATGCAATCTGAAACTAAATTTGACTTAATTGGATGCCTAATTAATTTTTTATGAATTAATAAAAATTTGGACCGAATTAGTAGGCATGTCTAGCCAACCACACCACACGCGTCATCACCTTCAATAGCTGCGCCATCACGTAATGGCTGCGTTCAAAAACCATTGCGCGCCTACTGAACGTGATGTTCAGTAGGCGCGCAATGGTTTTTAGTCATGTAACTCTATTGTAAAAAAAAACATGTAAAGTACTGAAAAAAAAATTCATAAAAAACGTTTTAATAACAAGCTTTTATGTAATGATGCACTAAAAAGTAGAAAATAAATTATAGACTACTATTTAAATAACTATAAAGAAAAGCGTGGGTGTCTTCCTTAACATTAGTAAAGGTATCCAATAGATACTAAAGTGACCCACGCTTTTCTTTATAGTTATTTAAATAGTAGTCTATAATTTATTTTCTACTTTTTAGTGCATCATTACATAAAAGCTTGTTATTAAAACGTTTTTTATGAATTTTTTAAAGATTTAGGCGTGCTTTTTGTGGGCTGATTTGGTTTAGGTACTTTATCAAGAGTGATTTTTTATAGTAAGTTTATTTTATACATTTATTTCTAAAGTTATTTCTGTTGCGTATTTTTAATAAGGTATTCTCTAGACATCTTCCAAAGTACTTGTATATTGTTTTTCATATTATATAAGAAATGAGTTTTGCTGAATTTCTCGCAAGGTTTATATAGCAATATGGTCACTTGGATTTAAATACCATGCTGGAACACATGTAAAAATACTATCTGGCCGAGAGGAAAAAGCTATGGTGTGGCTGCCAGAAAATATACTGTAGTTATAATGCTTTGATGATTGCTAACTCTTTTTGCCTCGTGTCGGTAGATTTCCATATCACCATTTTCCTTTATTCATGACAAATCTTGCTAAATTCAACTCAACGGCTTTGTTTCCTCATGCCCAGTCGTGAATTTCCACCAATCAGGGCCATGTTTACAAACCGATGTTAGCGAAAACTGTAGGACCAACCGTCGTGACAAATTTCATTGATTCGATTTTTTAAATATATTTAATCATCTAACTCAGGCAATTGTTACGTTACAGTGCATTGTTATCGAGTCTAGACACACGTGAAAAGTTTTGAAGAAATCCATCCGTTAGAATTAATTTGTTTTGTTGTATCTGGCGGATACAGCTCTTTCCATTCCAACACTAAATAATTGTCATTAAATAGTTTTTAAAAAAACCCACGTTTTCTGATTGAACTAAAAAGTAGAAAATAAATTCTATACATCACATTAATGCAAGCGATCACTCTACTATAAGCGATCAAAAACGTGGGGCGCCGAAGTAAAAGTTTTTTATCGGTCATTGTTAATATAAGATGTAAAAGTTATATTACTATTGATTAGATAATACTATTGAGTTTTATTAGGGAGCTTGTAGAGAGTCAACAGTATTAGAAACTGTAAGAAAATCACGGCGCCCCACGTTTTTCATCGCTTATAGTAGAGTGATCGCTTGCATTTTTGCAAAATATACGTCTGATGTACGTCAACTGCTCATCATTTGCATAATCAGTGTAGATCAACCTGATTTTTTAAAAAAAAGTGTACTTTTAGGTCTACCGAAAATTTTTTAATGGGATGGAGGATTGTGTACCATACACACAAGCAAGAAAGACTTTAAACGATGATACCGTATGCATAAGAGTACCGGTACCACTTTTTACTCAAACTATTTTTTAAGCTGTATAGCTATTTAATTCAATAAGACATCATAAATATGTGTACATTATTAAAAATAAATAAAATTAGTTTCAAATTATGAATTAATCTCCTTTTAAAAAAAGCTTAACGTTCAATGTATAACAAACGCTTGCTATAAGTTCCAACATTTAAAAGACATTTTGAAACTATTTGGGGAAAATTGTATGAAGTGTTACATAAACCAGAGCCGATAAATCGATACTTATATTAGTTAGTTAACTAATGAAAAATTGAACAAAAATATTTTCAGTAGATTATGCGTGAACATTTTCCTTTAGGGGTAGCTGAGTTTCATAAAGCGCTCAGTAGTTCAATGATTGTATAACACACCTCAGTAATTGTTTAAAACACCTCATTGATTGTATAACACACCTCAATGATTGTGTAACACACCTCAATGATTGTCAAGCACACAACAGTGATTGTGTAACACATTTTGATGATTGCGTGACACAGCTCAGTGAATGTGCGACACACCTCGGTGTGACTCCTGAGTGATTGTGTGACACAACTCAAACTGTCTAGCGTGTCCTGGTGACATTAAATTTTCATTTAATGTGTACACGTTGTCGGGTCAAGGTGTACATTTTGTCATATCGATGTGTACAAGAATCCGTTGTCGTCCCCTTATGTTGTGAATTTATTGGCACACAGGTACGGGTAAACCGTGGCACCACATTTAGGACAGTTACAAAAGATTAACGCTAATGAAATAAACCGGGAGTGATCTCCCCTAAACTTTCTCGATTATTCTTATATAACACTACGGGGGATCGCAACTCGGGATATATACAACATTTTTAATCCATTTTAATTACTTAAACTTTTTAAAATACAAGAGAATCTCGTAGATAAAAGAATTGCGCATTAATTGAACTCCAAACAATCTGTGTATAAGAGTGCGGGATATTTTTAGTACTTTATAGATTCACATGCGTTTTTTTGTGAAATCAAAAATACCGTAAACTACTTCTTCCGGTTAACGGAAATCAGAGGCGTAGCGAGGAGGGGGGGGGGCGGACAGCACCGGGTGACACATTTTAGGTGGGTCACACCAAGGCAAAAAATAGCAAAATATATAGAGAAAAACTTGAGGGGGGGTGCAAATCGAAATTTTGAGGGGGGGGGGGTACAAATCGAAAATTAGAGAGGGGGTGCAAATCAAAAGTTTGCAGGGGGGGGGTGCAAATCGAAAATTCGAAAGTTTGTCCCCGGGAAGGGTCGGTACGCCTCTGGGGGTGACACGAAATTACGTCTGTTAATTCATCACTTGAAAAACAAACAATGGTGAAAGCTTGATTTCATTTAAAACCTGTCCTTTCACATCTACGGACATGTCTGCTATAAGCCGCCGAATAGAATTATTAGACAGGATATTTGTTGCATCTTTACTGCACTGAAATCCTCAACAATTAATTTCACCATCTTCAACATTGAGGGTTTGATGCGATTTTCTCCTATTGTGTAAGAGGTTTTTTTTTTGCATGGCAATTTCTAATTCGACTTCATATGATGCTTGCACTAATGCTGTTATATCTTTTTGGTGTGTTTCGAATGACTCGTCTCAAATGACGTTTTAGTTTTGAAGGTTTCATGGACTCGTTGATGAGAGCACAGTACGCATTGTTTCTTCTCGATTCAGTTTCCAGAGATGTTAGTAAGGCCGAATTTCAGATATTTTTCTAATTCAGATATTTATGTTGTTTTTTTTTCATTGATAAGGTTTGGTCTACCAGTTGGCGAACCCCAGAAAGGCATTCGCAACCCCCTGGGGTCACGACCCCCAGTTTGGGAACCCGTGGTTTAAATGAAGGTTTATAGCTTGTACTATATATTTTCGTTTTAATTATAGTCAGATACTTTTACATACATATATATATATATATATATATATATATATATATATATATATATATATATATATATATATATATATATATATATATATATATATATACATAAGTGTGTGTGTGGACCTATCGCTCCCCCTCAACCCAAAAACCTACTCAGACTCCTATTATCCCTGGCCATCTTTGTCACTGGATCTTTCTATTAAGTCTGAACGTATTAGAAATAAATTAAACACTTCTAATTTGAGTTTTCTGGTTAAACAAAATCGTTGATTTATGTCCAGCTTCTGCTTTGAATATTTCGGCTTTCACATCTCTTAAATCCAAAGGCGATCAGACAATTATTTTTTTAATGAACATGGGACGAGGTAGGATGTAGACGTACGTGAGGGTTGTATTAGAGGTTGAGTTGGAGGTTGTATTGGAGGTTGTATTGGAGGTAGTTTTGGAGGTTGTATTGTAGGTTGTATTGGAGGTTGTATTGGAGGTTGTATTGGAGGTTTTATTGGAGGTTTTATTGGAGGTTGTATTGGAGGCTGTAGTTGGAGGTTGTATTGGAGGTTGTATTGGAGGTTGTAGTTGGAGGTTGTATTGGAGCTTGTATTGGAGGTTGTATTGGAGGTTGTATTGGAGGTTGTAGTTGGAGGTTGTATTGGAGCTTGTATTGGAGGTTGTAGATGGAGGTTGTATTGGAGGTTGTATTTGTATGTTGAAATGGCAGGTTGTATTTGTAGGTTGTGGGAGGAAGATCATAGTGGAAGGTTTTATTGGTAGGTTGTAGCTGTAGGTTGTAGTTGTAGGTTGCAGTGGTATGTTGTAGTGGTAGGTTGTAGCGGTAGATTGTAGTAGTAGATTGTAGTAGTAGATTGTAGCAGTAGATTGTAGTAGTAGATTGCAGTAGTAGATTGTAGTAGTAGATTGTAGTAGTAGATTGTAGTAGTAGATTGTAGTAGTAGATTGCAGTAGTACGTTGTAGTAGAAGGTTATAGTTCAAAGCTGTGGTGGGATATCGTAATGGTAGGATGTAATTGTAGGATGAGGGTATTTTAGTTCAGTGAATGCGGTCATACAATAAATAGTTGAAACGTTTAACTAACCAAATATAAACAAATTCAAAATAAAATAAAGGCTAACCTTAAAAGTTTAAAAAAACATCAACAGTATAGCAGTAATACAAACATAAACAGATAAACTGGAGTGTATTATCAACCATTAGCTTAATCAGCTGTTCCATATAGAACTTTAATTAGTCTGTCAGATTAGCAGGTTCACATTAGTCGTTCCACCAGCCGTCGCAGGCAGAGCTTCAGAAGATGAGTTCCCTAACGGTGTTTGGTTTCCTGTGTCTTGCCATGGCAATACAACCAGGTATTTTGGTCGAGGTTTTAATTGTACTAACATGTGCGTCTGTATTTCAAAAACACAAGTAACGATCGTTGCAAGACAAATCTACTCAGCTACAAACATGATTACTTGTGCTTATTGATCGGATATATATATATATATATATATATATATATATATATATATATACATATATGTATATGTATATGTATATCGGATTACAATTTCCAGGATTTGCCGATCTTGTCGGATACAAGATAGTTGTAAAAACAGGTAATAAACTGGCAGGGGGAACCCACGCAAATGTTTTCATGAGTTTGTTTGGTTCAAAGGGAACAACTGGCAGGATTCCTCTTCCACGTCAGCATAATGACAGCTTTCAGAGGGGAATCCAGGATGAGTTTAATGTAAGCATGTTTTGCCTGTCTGTAGCACTTTGTGACACGTCCTTCACTATATGTTTTGGGTTTATGTACACTTCGCAGTTGTCGGATTTCGGGAAATTGAGTGGTGTTAAGAACCACAGAAAACATAATGACCAACTCAACCAGCACAAAAGGACAAAATCTCAATTGTAAAAAAACAAAAGACCAACTTTACAATAGGGCTGGTAAGTAGGTCACCAACCATTTCAATGGCTCATGTAGGTTTTATTGAGCCGTCGAACTGGTTGGTGACCTACTTACCAGCCATATTAAAGCAGGTAAAAAAGCAACAGCACACTCCGGTGTGTTAAGCCACGTAAGATATTTAAAGATATCGTTCCTAAATATTTCTTCAGGTGACTTCCTTCAACGTTGGACGAGTTCACTCTATAGAAATTGGACATGACAACGTTGGCTTGTGAGCGGGCTGGTTCCTTGATCATGTGAGTAACTACGCGCATATATATATATATATGTATATGTATATATATATATATATATATATATATATATATATATATATATATATATATATATATATATATATATATATATATACATTTATACAACCAATTAGATCTCTTCTAATAACACACACACATACCTATATAAGTATATATATATATATATATATATATATATATATATATATATATATATATATATATATATATATATATATATATATATATATATACTTATAAATAATTATATATTTTATTTATTTTTAATAATCTCAACTTATTTCTGTATTTTCTTTTCCTTGGTAATCGTGACCCAAGCAGTGGCAGAAGTGGACGAGCATACAGAGGTAAGCTAGTGGGTTCCTGACTTTTGTAGGTGTCTGATTCTATAATGACCAGTAGAATAATCTAAAAAGCTAGTGCTTTGTATCTTCGGACAGTATGATTATTGTATAGTCCAGTACATTGAAATGAATGTTATTTTGAAAATCTCCCTACTTTATCTCACCCTGCAGAAACCTGGCTGCACCACATACAGGTTTGACTACAACAACTGGATCGCTAAAGACGAAGGGGACCATTCACTTGTCAAGAGCATAAAAGTCGCATCGACAGATGTCAAACCAGCTTAAAGCAATACGCATGCACAAATTGCCTTCACGGGAAGATTTGGATTTAAAATTAAAAGGAAATCTAAAATATTAATCTATGATTTTAAAGTATGTTCTTTTTAAAATTCATTTTTAGTGAAGGTATTAGAAATACTACTTTGAAAAGATAACATTTAGTTTTGGTATTTAAAATTACAATGAAATAAAGTAATATCAATTATTTTAATTGCGTTGTTTTACGTTTTATTAACTGCTATCATGACTTCTCTACGGATTTTGTTGTCTTAGAAAAAACAGATTAGGACTTATAAATCAAATACCTCATACTTCCTCACTACTCGAGCCAAAATCTACTTCCCACCCCATGGGTCCACATGTCAACTACTGCGACTACTTATAAGCAAAACATCAAAACTTTTTATCATGGAATTGGGATGAAGGTGGTCGGTTATAAAAAAGGTGATTGTGTAAGGAGAAGGTGATTGTGTAAGGGGATTGGGATTGTGTAAGGGGATGGTGATTGTTTAAAAGTAAGGTGATTGTGTAAGAGTAAGGTGATTGTGTAAGGAGAAGGTGATTGTGTAAGGGTAAGGTGATTGTGTAAGGGAATAGTGTTTGTGTAAGGGAATAGTGTTTGTGTAAGGAGAATGTGATTGTGTAAGGGGAAGGTGATCGTGTAAGGGGATTGTGATTGTGTAGGGGTAAGGTGATTGTGTAAGGAGAGGGTGATTGTGTAAGGGGAAGGTGATTGTGTAAGGGCATGGTGATTGTGTAAGAGAAAGTGAATGTATTTGGGTTGGTGATTTTGTGAGGGGAAAATCATTCTGTTCGTCTAAGGTAATTAATATATGATTGTGGTGAAAGTGAATGTGTAAGGAAAAGGTTATTGTGTAAGGAAAAATTGATTATGTTTGACCAAGGTAACTGTGTGAAGATGATGATAAATTGTCAGAAGAATTACACATAGATAGTGCAATTGTGTCGCCAGGGAGCATGGACTAATTTATATCAAATATTGTTGAAACATGGTGGAAGTGTATAGAATGGGAATTATTTACCCCCCCCCCCTCCTCTCATACCCTATTCACTGACCTGCCGTTTTGAAATTTAGTATTTTTCGTGTTGGATTTTGTGAGTTTGGTATGTTCAATTGATGGGCTTAGTTTAATTAAGTACACATTCTTTTAAAATTAGGTTAATTAAGGGTGTATGTGTGCGATGTGAGATGGAAGGAAGTGGGAGGGTGGGGGTGGGGGTGGGGAGGGGGGGGGGTTGATGCAGTTTGATTTGTTTTTGTGTGGCTTCTCGCTTATATAAGGTTTTAAGATTTATATTTTCTTTGTAAGTTGAAGATATGGGATAGTGGAAGAGGTGGGTATTGTTATGTTTATATATATATATATATATATATATATATATATATATATATATATATATATATATATATATATATATATATATATATATATATATATATATATATATATATATATATATATATATATATATATATATATATATATATATTTCGTTAGACGGAAGACTGAGTTGAAGTTTTAGTTCAAAGTAAGTTAGGAAGTTGGGCTTTTGTAAATTGTGTGTGTTTTTGTGAGTAGGCTTTTGTGAGTAGGCTTTTGTGTGTAGGCTTATGTGTGTGGGCATTTGTGAGTAGGCTTTTGTGAGTGGGCTTTTGTGAGTAGGTTTTTGTAGTTTTTTTGTCTTTTGTGTTTTTTAGGTTTTCGTAAATTGGACTTTTTATAATTTAAGTGTATGTTTGTAAAATAAGATTTTTCGTATTGTCTATTGGTTGTGTGTGTTGTTCTTTTTTCTGCGTTTCATTCTGTAGAACGAATTTAGAAACATGAGTTCGGAATTTATCAATGTCTTTGCGTACTTGATTGAGTTTTGACTACTGTGCATTTTTTTCACATTACTCCCTGGCCTGGATTTGAACACGGGACTCTGAGATACAGATCACGATCTGTAACGTGATTCCTGCATGTTTAAAAACTTGAAAATTTCAAATGCTAAAAAAATTCGATTTAACGATTATTTTTATCTTGACGCTCTACAATGAGAAGAATGTCAGGTGGATCACGAATGACAGCTAAGCCACTTGAGAAATTGAGAACCATTCAGCTTTTTTCCTATCACGTGATACAGGGGTAAATACGTCATTTATTCAGACCCATTGACAAAAAATATTTCTCACGAAGATTTCTAATTCTTCAAGAGCAGACTCGGAAATTAGGGAATTCCCATTCGCTGAGTGGGGTTTATTGATAAGCTAATTATAGCAACCCTTCGTCCAATCAGCTTTCGTGTGAGATTATTTTAAAAAAAATTAGTATACAATTTTTTAGATTTGGTCATGGACGTAGCAAGGGGGGGGGGGGGGGGGGCGGGGGTGCGGATCGCACTGGGTGACACCATTTAGGGGGGTGACACCTAAGCAAAAAATAGTAAAATATATAGAGAAAAATTTGCGCGGGGGGGGGGGTGCAAATCGAAAGTTTGAGGGGAGGGGGGTGCACATCGAAAATTGAAAGTTTGTCCCCGGGAAGAGTCGCTACGCCTCTGGGGGTTGACACCATTAAGTGCCGCACCGGGTGAAACCCGACCTCGCTACGCCACTGACGGAAATTACTCAAAATTTGACAGAAGGCAGAAATGTAAATCTTTTACTTGTATGTGAAATATCGTTCATCTAAAAAACAGTACTCAAGTTATAGGCTTTTCAAAAATTGAAAGTAGAATAAGTTCCACTTCCGGTATCGAAAATCGCTGAAAAGTTGGTACAGATCTACAAATTTGATATAATACTTATATATGAAATTTCATCAAACTAGCTGTAACGGTACTCAAGCAATCGTGTTTACAGACAACACGTCCTGTCCCTGACTTTACCTTTCTTTAACTGTCTAACAGGTACACATTAGCTACACACCACAAAAGACACAGTGAATACTCAAGGGACGTACATAATACAAAGGGACTTAAAAATCACTAACAAGACATAATGTAAGTGACTCGATTTCTTCAAACACTGTGTTAATGCTACATTAGAAGGAACTTTGTAACTTTTACAAAAACACAACCGTTGTTTATTATATGATATATGTCACAAACAATGTTGATATAATATAAGTTTGCGGCACAAAACCAAGAATGCCAGCATTACATACCAGATTCACATGACTATTTTCCTACTGGACGACACACACTAACGCAGAGGCGTAGCGAGGGGGGGGGACACATGTCCCCGGGCGCCGACCTCAGGGGGGCGCCAAATTGAAAGTTTGAGGGGAGGGGGTGCAAATGAAAAGTTCGAGGGGGGGTGCAAATGGAAAGTTCGAGGGGGGTGCAAATCGAAAGTTTGAGGGCGGGGGTGCAAATCGAAAGTTTGTCCCCGGGTGCCGGGAAGGGTCGCTACGCCTCTGCACTAACGTCAAGACTCAAATAACAAAAGATACTAGGCGACACAAGTTATGTAGTGTAGCAAGTTTACAATCTGTTTCAAATCAAATTGCAAGCAAGTATCTTGATTGTATGCATCATACCACGCCGCTGGTACCATCTGATAGAGCTACAGCAACTGATACTTCATCTCACACAAGTACCTCGACTGTAGGCTGCAGAACGCATCGTTGTACCATCTAACAGAGCTACAGCAACCGATACTTCATCTCACACAAGTACCTCGACTGTAGACTGCAGAAGGCGTCGTTGTACCATCTGATAGAGCTACAGCAACCGATACTTCATCTCACACAAGTACCTCGACTGTAGGCTGCAGAACGCATCGTTGAGGCCCTGGATTCTGGGCTGATACTCTACACAGTCCTCCACCCCTGGGCTGCTCGGCTCACCTGGACAAAACAATCATCAGAAACATCTGGAAACTTTTTCTTTAGACATTCCCGTCAATAACACAATCATGTTTTAGTTTCTATGATAAAATGATGTTTTTGAAAGATATGGGCCTATCTAAAATATAAAATTATAAATCTGATATAAATCTTAAGTTGAAAGATTAAGCAGAAAATCATTAGCTGAAGCATTATATCTTCTTCATTATGCTGCTAGTACTTGTACCATTCATTTTGGTCATATTGTCAAATTATCTGTCGGTCTGTCTATGCATTTGTCGTCAAGTTCCATCAGTCTGTTTATATTAATTTGACAAATGTAACGAGCTCTTCAAACTTTCAAAATAAATTAATTCCTAATGATGATGAATTACAATTTAATTTTGAGTCTGTTTAGATAATGAAAGAAGAAAGAAAAAATTGTAAACGCGGTTTCTTTTATTTTTTTACGTTGGAAGTTTTTAACAATAGAAATAACGCTAAATGATTAGGTAAAACACATTTTTTTTAGAAATAATTAATTATAATTTAGGCATTGACATTTTGGAAAAAATATGAAACATCTTAAGACAGGGTGAGTGTCAAGGCATACCTGTGGCAAATATGACAGGTCCCCAACTATCTGCCATATCTGTACCATCGTCCGCCCATCTCCACACGCCCACACTTGACAAGTCATCCAAGCCCACCCAAAACTCGACCCTCTCAGCCGCAACTATTTCCCACAAAATGCTCAGCTTTTCTTGGCTCTTCACTGTGTACAGGTTCCCTCCCATGTCTGGTGTGGGAGGAACAATTTTCTTGTTATATAATTTACATCATCAGGTTAAAACTCTGTACACTAATGAAGGTGTATTTGGAACTATACATACTTAGGCATAACTACACGGAGGTTTTTTTTTAAAAATACATGCGTTTTCTGGGTTTCGGAAAGGTGTTGTTTTAGTCTAGACAATGATTACTAATGAGTAGCTAATGATTATTACAGTAGCTAATGATTATTAGTTGTTAATGATTAACACATTGGTTAACAATGATTACAGTAGTTAATGATCACTACAGTAGTTAATAATTATTACAGTAGTTGGTGATTATTAGTTGTTAGTGAGTATTACAGTTATTAACGAGAATGGAAGTTTGAAATGATTACCCTTGCATGACTCCTTGGCGTTCAAGTAATTCTGGTGGTCACGTGACAACCTCACACAGACACCCACACTACCGCTGGCGTGGAAGCTGAAGTTGGACGACGTATCACACAAGGGTGTGACACTGTAGGTTGTCACGTGACTAGTCGTGACACTGTAGGTTGTCGGCCGACTGGTCGCTACAGCCTTTTGCTTTAGCCATAACCCTAGATGGGTAGGGGGGAGTTATCGAACATTATTGGCGACAGAACACATATATTTAATAATGAAATAAATTGAAGTTTAATAACGGTTGAATTTCTAACAAAAGATATGACACTTGAAGTGTCGCTAGCCTAGTATTCTCACCGAGTTTACACGTCTTGAGCGTGTCATTGATAGAGAAACTAAAGCATGTGTTGTACCGGTACAGACATGTTCGAGCACAACTGAGGGGATTAGTGCTAGCCACCTCCACACCCAGGGGCACAAACGTGTGGTACGGGTCCATGAGAAGGCTGAACATGATCTGGGAAGTTCCAGAGCTACTGGCTCGTCCTGCAACAGTAGAGAATCTTAAATTCCATAGAAGATGTCTTCGTTCACAGACAAGATGAATTCATAAACAATAGAATATTTTCCGTTAAACTTAATGCTTTATACTTCTACGCTGAAGCAGTGGCGTAGCGAGGTCGGGTGTCACCCGGTGCGGCACTTAATGGTGTCACCCCCCCCCCCCCCCAGAGGCATAGAGACCCTTCCCAGGGAGAAACTTTCAAATTTTCGATTTGCACCACCCCCCCTCAAACTTTCGATTTGCACCCCCCCCCCCTCAAGTTTTCGATTTGCACCCCCCCCTCAAACTTTCGATTTGCACCCCCCCCCCCTCGAGTTTTTCTCTATATATTTTGCTATTTTTTGCCTTGGTGTCACCCCCCTAAATGGTGTCACCCGGTGCGGTCCGCACCCCCCACCCCCCCCCCCCCCTCGCTACGCCCCTGCGCTGAAGACACCATGTATTCAGTTTTTTCCGCATGAACTCCGCATAAAACAAGATGCGAATTTTGTCCCAATATTTTGGCCTCAACGTGTTAACATGACATCGTTAGCTGTCAACATCACGCGGTTAGACAACACGGAAGAATTCAACCGTCAATTCTCAGATTGATTCAGATGAGGTAAATAAAACTTCTCGGCCCTCCTTTTTTTAAACGTTTAAAACTGTAATTTCAAATGAAATAGGCCTACTAAACTAACATATTTTTAAAAAAATTCTAGTCGTATAGCAAGTCTTAATTTTAAAAGTGTTTTATCTCAATACACATAGCTATAGTTCTCTTGTAAAATCTATGTATTAAAGTTACCGAATTCTAACCTGCAAGCAGAATATGAGATAAGTAAACCATAAGCAGCTTGTGTGGGCCCGATGTTAGCCCGAGGACACGGGGCTTTCTGTACTGAGGTGTGTTCATGGTCGACTTCTCCAGTTTAGTAGCTGATCAACTGGGGAATGATGAAAATATTTTGTATCAAAGTGTGGGAACAATAGTTTAATTTATTTTTACTATCACATATTATTTAAGCAATAGAAGTATGTTCAAATCAATTATATATTACAACTAGCCGTCCCGGCCAGGCCCTGCTCTGGCATCTCTGAAAAACGAATCTGTAAATGACCATAACTTGTGTAATCAGCATTTATCCGGCATTGCCCACCCTAACTGTGATAGATTGTAATCACTGACGAGGAGCCACATAGCTTGTTAACAGTCTTTATTATGTACAGACGCCATGATGCGAAGAGAGAGAGGAAGGAAGTAGCGAGAGAGAACTATTTATAGATAACATGTAAGGGACATCACTCAAGATAACAATATAAATATAATACTAATACAGAGAGTGAGTTCCCTTGACCTCACAATTAACTCAATCTATTACATCCCTTTACCCTTAGAACACAATAACACATCTCTCAATAGAACAATTGATAGTATCCTAAAATCACCAATTATATTGTAACATGAACACTATGGTAGATTACATCCTTACAAACAATGCACAATATGCTACAACATAATCAAAATACAAAACAATAATGTCAAAGTCCTTTTGACCTTTAGAATCATAGGTCTAACTTATTTGGGACTTTGATTGTCCTGCTTGACCTTCTCAGTGGCTTCTGATTTGGTGACTCAAGATTCTGACCATCTGGATTCTCTATCTCAGGAGGTCTAGGATTTAAATCATTAACTCCAGAATTTACATTTTCTGACTCCAGACAACTTGGTTCACTCATATCAACAGAACTTGGTTGTGGAACAAACTGAGTTGGTGTGAACTGATCAGATTTGGTGGGATTGACAGATTCACACTTATTATCTGCACAAGTTATTTTTAACTTTATAAGACACAGGTCCTGTACATTGAACAATTTGACCTGGTATCCATTTTTCCTTTTTCCCATAATTTCTTAGATACACATTCTCATTAACACCAAATTCTCTTTCAATGAATGTTTGTCATGATTTAATGGAACTATTTTTGAATTGGCATCTGAAAGTATTATGCTATTATTCAGATCCTTAATTGACATAGATTTCTTTGATTGATCAATTTTCTCAGGTAATCTGATAGTGCTTTCCTGGTAACCAAAAATACTGTTTAAAAGTAATATCCTGGACAATATCACTTTACAACTGTGATCCAGTATTTGAAGTGGGTGTATTAAATGGCAAAAATCTTTTTCTTCTTTTGATGTTACCCTTTTAAGTTTCTGTAAGTGCTAATGATGTTAGCAAAGTTGTTTGATGATCACATTCCTTCTTACTAATGTATTTGAAATTGCCATATCACCATAATCATTTATTAAGTTACAAATACTTTGTTTAGGCAATTCTGACTGATAATGGACTGCATCTTCTCCATCTTTTATATTATCTTCACAAAGGTTTTTATTTCTTATTTTATATGGCTTTAAGTCATCATTCACAGACTCTTCAGGCCAACCATTCTTACAGTACTCATATACTTTTATTAAGCATTCATCTTTTTGTGTTTCTCTTTTAATATCATTCACATTTATATTGGAGTTATCCATGATAGTGAAGAGAACAAATACATCTTCTGGTACATAGCTCAGGCTTTGGTTTTTTAAAGGTAATCTACTAAGACTATCTGCACTATTCTCAGATCCAGGTTTGTATTTCAATTCATAATTGTATGCAGTTAGTGTGATAGCCCATCTTTGAATTCTTGGTGAGACATGCTCAGGTAGGGTTTTGTTTTCCCCAAATAAACCTAGCAATGGTTTATGATCTGTAAAGATGGTGAACTTCCTACCAAACAGAAACTTATGAAATTTCTTAACACCAAAAATGATGCCTAAGCCTTCCCTATCTAACTGAGAATAATTTTTCTCAGCCTGGTTCAAAGATCTACTGGCAAAAGCAATGGGTCTGTCACCCTTCTCATCCATGTGGGACAAGACTGCTCCTACACCATCTGGTGAAGCATCACATGTCAATACAAGTCTTTTCCCTGGGTCATAGTGAGTTAGTAAGGTGTCAGCAGACAAAGCCTCTTTTGCTGTATTAAAAGCAGCTTCTTGTTGTTTACCCCAGTGCCAAGTTGCATTTTTCTGTAGCAGCTTGTACAGTGGTGATAGTTTACCAGACAGATTTCCTATGAACTTTGCATAGTAATTTATCAAGCCCAAAAAAGCTCTTAGTTGTTGAGTATTTTCAGGTTTGGGTGCTTCCTTAATGGCTTTTGTTTTCTCAGGTTGAGGTCTGATGCCTTGCTTGCTTAATATATAACCAAGAAAACTAATTTCTGTCAGCATGAATTGACATTTATCTTTGTTTATCTTTAAACCTTTTTCACCAACAATTTTCAAGACTTTATCAAGTGTTTTAAGATGTTCAGTGTCATTCTTACCAGTTATGTACACATTGTCAAAGTACACACAAACATTTGGAATATCCTTAAAAATACTGTCCATGACAGCTTGGAAAATTCCAGGGCTAGATGATATGCCAAAACATAGTCTTTCATATTGGTAGAGTCCTTTATGTGTGTTTATTGTCGTATAGACTTTTGAATCTGGATGCAGTTCTAGTTGAGTGTAAGCATGACTAAAGTCCAATTCAGTGAATTTGTCTCCTCCTGCCAAATTCAAAGAGATTTCCTCAATGTTAGGTATAGGGTACCTATTTAGCTCTATTTGCTTATTCAGTGTAGTTTTATAATCTCCACAAATTCTTATAGAACCATCCTTCTTTAACACTGGCACAATGGGTGACGCCCAATCGGAATAGTCTACCTTCTTTATGATGCCATTAGATTCCAATCTACTTAGCTCATTTTCAATTTTATTCTTCATTGCATAAGGTGGAACTCTAGCTTTGCAGTATCTTGGATTTGTATCTTTAATGCTTAACTTCACTGTTCTATCATTTAGTAAACCTGAATTACCAAAAACACATTTATTTTCAGATTTAACTTTATCTAGTGAAGTAAGACTAGATTCTTTTACATTCTTCAATGAACAAATACTCTCCCAATTTAACTTAAGATCACTTAACCAGTTCCTACCTAGTAATGGCGGTCCATTTCCTTCAACCACAAGAAGAGGAAGTTTAACACTTTGACCATTATAACTTACATGAACCATACACTCTCCTATTACCGGAACATTGTCACCAGTGTATGTTGTTAGACACTTGTGACATGGCTGTAGAGGCACTGATTCTCCTGTGACAGCGTCAAAATCTTTCTTTGTTATGACTGTTAGAGATGCTCCAGTGTCAAGTTGGAAGCTGATGCTCTTACCGTTGATATTAACTTGTACATTGATGGGAGCATGACTTATTGATTTAACAGAGAACAGGTTGAAATCCGGCTGCAAATCAATTTGAGCATTTTCACAGGTAGAGTGGTTCATTGGTTGGGTTAGGTAGTCTTGGTGAGAGTTAACATAGTGCTGCTTTTGGTTGCGGTACTGTCTTGACTGGCTAGATTTAGCAACAGACGAAGACTTTGCAAAGCAGGCCTTGGCAATGTGACCTTGCTTACCGCACTTATAACAAGTTGCTAACTTGAACTTGCACCGATGAGATGCATGGGGACCTTTGCATCGATGACATTTTTGATAATTATTACTAGATTTAGATCTAGGATTTGAACGAGCAGGCTGTTTAGCATAAGTTGGAATGCTCTGATGGGGTTGATGTTTATGAACTAACCTGCTGTTTACTGCATGGATCCCTGAAGACGCTAAAGATCTCGCCGCATCTGATGACTGCTGGATTGAAGTTGCGAGTTGTATTGCTTTTTCCAATTTTAGATCTGACTCGAGCAGCAACTTTCTTTGAATATCAGGGCTGTTTACACCTGTCACAAACTTTTCACATAATCTGTCAGACAGCGTGTCTCCGAATTCACAAAATCTACTTAAATGACGTAAAGCAGCAACATATTCTGATATTGACTCGTTTGGTTGACGAGTCCTACTGTCAAATCTAGCTCGACATAGAATCTTTGATGGGGTAGGCGCATGGTGGTCTGTTAGCAATTTGCTCAGCTCGTTAAAGCTCTTGGTAGTTAGACTAGCTGGTGAGCATAAGTCCTTTAATAGCCTAAATTGTTGAGGCCCTATGACTGTTAACAAAACAGCTCTCATTTTGGCTTCTATCGTCACGTCGTTAGCTTCTAGGTAAAAGCTTAACCTCTCTAGGTAATCTTGAATGATTTCATCATTCGCATCAAATTCTTTTATTTGGCCATACAGCGCCATAATTCTAGAAATAATTAGCTAATAAGCTCTAGCAAACCTCTTTTTTGCGTAAGTAGGTGCTCTTTCTAGTAGATGTTTATCCTTCGTCGCCAAAATGTGATAGATTGTAATCACTGACGAGGAGCCACATAGCTTGTTAACAGTCTTTATTATGTACAGACGCCATGATGCGAAGAGAGAGAGGAAGGAAGTAGCGAGAGAGAACTATTTATAGATAACATGTAAGGGACATCACTCAAGATAACAATATAAATATAATACTAATACAGAGAGTGAGTTCCCTTGACCTCACAATTAACTCAATCTATTACACTAACCACAACCAACCAAAACACACAAAAAACGCAAATATACCACTAAAGCAAAACAAAAACAAACGAAAACACAAAAACAAACGCAAAGACAAACCCAACCACAAACACAAAGAAAACACAAACACTAATGCAAACAAAAAAGCAAACGAAAACAAATCCAAACGCAAACACAAACACAACCACAACCAAACAAAACCAAAACCAAAACACAAAAAAAACGCAAACATAACACAAATGCAAATACAAACACAAATGAAACACAAAAACAAACGGAAACACAAACACAATCACAAACACAAAGAAAACACAAACGGAAAGGAAAAAAAGCAAACGAAAACACAAATGCAAAGAAAAAAAGCAAACGAAAACAAACCTAAACCCAAATCCAAACGCGAACACAACCACAAACGCAAACCCAAACTCAAACACAAAGAAAACACAAACGCAAAGATAAACTCAAAGGGTCCACAGTCTAGCCTGGGGCGCCAAATCGCACCATGACGACGTGCGGCGTAACCGCCTCATTCAACTTAGTAAACGACTATAGTTTCCAACTCATTCATAGTCTTTTGAACTCACGCGAACGTAGGTACCATAGCGTACACGGGAAGGCCCGGGGCGCCAAATAGCACTCTGTCGGGGTGCCGGAGGACGCCCGGATTTGATTCACTTAAAGACTATAGTAACCTTTCATATCCATAGTCTATCGCACTGTTTAAAACAAAATTATGCAGCATAGCGCTCACATGATAGCCCAGACGCCAAATCGAACCATGCAGGGGCGGCGGCGGACGTGCCTGTTTCAATTTAGTGAACAAAATTATAATACTCAAAGCTTATCCGCAAATGGAAAGAAATAAACATATAGGATTTGCAGGACCTGGCTTATTAAATGTTATTGATTTTAAAAAATAATTAGTGAACAGTATCTTCAGTGTATAGAATAAATAAAAGGCAGTATTAATAATACCAACGACATTGCACTTAATCAATCTACGCTAATTATGTAAATATTTTTTTCCTCAACACCAAAACAAAGTAATAAAAAGTAAATTCTTTCTTCCCCCGATTTAATGGTTTTTTAAAGGGAAGTAACTGTGCAGTCAATACATTTCAGACACAATTTTAGAAATTTTATAAACGTTGATACACTTTTTAAAAATTTTATGTAATGTTCATAATTGAAAATTATTATTCTAAGTATATAAAATGAAAATTGTTTTTAAAAACTTTCAATATCAATTTTTAACTCATAAACTTAGACCATGAGCACTATAATAATCTAACACTTAAATCCATTGAAGTATCCACGACAAACTTATTACACTTTACAAACATGTTACATACAGAATTGAGCTTTATATATTAGATTAATAATTATATGTACTTTCCACTAAATGTATTGTTCACTTGAATTTCCGCCCAAATTAAGATCAAATTTTAATCTAATATTTCATCGGAATAACACATCACTCAAGTACCTCCATTCTATCCAAAATACGTCTGCTCGTGTGTCACATAACTACTGTAGACGAACAAAATCACGTTCATATTTTTGTTCCCATAACAATTAATCAATTTTATTAATTAAGTTGATGTCTCTTCACGACACATACGTTACAAATGAGCAATTATTTATCATCATAAAAATAATTTAAAAGATGGATTTTCATTTTCTTTTAAATTGCAAGTTTAAAAGACAGACTTTGAAACTCTATACTGGTTAATGTGGCATACAAACCACTGGTTAATGAAGCATACAGTTTAAACCACTGGTTAATGAAGCATACATTTTAAAGTCAAACACGAACCTGTGAGAGAGCTTTTTATTAAGGAGCTGTTTCTTGCATACAAGTCGTGGAGCAGCTACACGAAGGAATGCCGTCTTACATTGGAGTCCCTCTACTCCCGTCCGTGCGATCTCGAAGACTCAGAAAATATGAAACAGGTTTAATTACTCTTTTACATCAAACTGATACTTGTAATAAAAATTGCGATGATTAAAATGGGCTGCTTTTAAATCATGGCTCATGTATTGATCCCACGTTTAGCTGACACGGCAAAGTGAGCAAAAAATGACAACAACAAAAAACAACGATAGCACCACGGAATAACTGAATTACTAATAAAGTAGCACCACGGAATAACTACAATAGAACTAAAGAATCAGTACGGTAGCACTAAATAAGTACCAAGGTAACATTGCAGTAGCACCACGGTAGCACAACGATAGCACCGCAAAATAACTGCGTTCGTAATAAAATAGAAGCACAGAATCAGTACGCTAGCATTAATGTAGCGCTACGGTAGCCCTACAGTAGCGCTACGGTAGCCTAAAAGTAGCATCGCGGAATCACTATGGTATCATTACACTTAAACCCCTGTAGAACTAAAGTAGCACCACGGTATAACTACGACAGAACAACCTAATAACTGCGTTAGTAATAAAGTATAACCAATATAAAGTATAACCTGCATTACTTCTACCGTACTGATTCTGTAATGATCTCGTAATGGTGCTACTTTAATAATACCGTTCCAATTACAAAACAATGCATTCGTTTCTCAAAACTATGGCTTGATATTAGCAATCGATTCAAACTTTTTTCAACATCAATTATCGGGATGAATTAAAAACAAAATCCTCTGTAGCTAATTTCTCGAGCTTTATACTTGTGCCATGTAATTTGCTGTTCTTGGTGCACTGTGTATTGTATCTGGTTGATTGAAAGGTTCACAATGTCGACACTATGTATTGTATCTGGTTCTTAGTGGTTTGGGGTGTAGGTTTATCAACACTATCGCCCAGGGGAGCTGGCTTGACCTTTTGTTTTTTGTAGTTTTTCTTGTTTGCGACATATTAGCGGCAACCTTAATTTTGTCCTGAGTCTAAATGTCCATAGTCTAAATGTCCAACGTCTAAATGTCCATAGTCTAAATGTCCATAGTCTAAATGTCCATAGTCTAAATGTCCAACGTCTAAATGTCCATAGTCTAAATGTCCAAAGTCTAAATGTCCAAAGTCTAAATGTCCAAAGTCTGAATGTCCAAAGTCTATATGTCCATAGTCTAAATGTCCAAAGTCTAAATGTCCAAAGTCTATATATCCAAAGTCTAAATGTCCATAGTCTAAATGTCCAAAGTCTAAATGTCCATAGTCTAAATGTCCAAAGTCTGAATGTCCAAAGTCTAAATGTCCATAGTCTAAATGTCCAAAGTCTAAATGTCCAAAGTCTATATGTCCATAGTCTAAATGTCCAAAGTCTAAATGTCCAAAGTCTATATATCCAAAGTCTAAATGTCCATAGTCTAAATGTCCAAAGTCTAAATGTCCATAGTCTAAATGTCCAAAGTCTAAATGTCCAAAGTCTAAATGTCCAAAGTCTAAATGTCCAAAGTCTAAATGTCCAAAGTCTGAATGTCCAAAGTCTATATGTCCATAGTCTAAATGTCCAAAGTCTAAATGTCCAAAGTCTATATATCCAAAGTCTAAATGTCCATAGTCTAAATGTCCAAAGTCTAAATGTCCATAGTCTAAATGTCCAAAGTCTAAATGTCCATAGTCTAAAAAGGTCCAATGTCTAAATGTCCATAGTCTATATGTCCAAAGTCTAAATGTGCAAAGTCTAAATGTCCAAAGTCTAAATGTCCAAAGTCTAAATGTCCATAGTCTATATGTCCAAAGTCTAAATGTCCATAGTCTAAATGCCCAAAGTCTAAATGTCCATAGTCTAAATGTCCATAGTCTAAATGTCCAAAGTCTAAATGTCCAAAGTCTAAATGTCCATAGTCTAAATATCCAAAGTCTAAATGTCCAAAGTCTAAATGTCCATAGTCTAAATGTCCAAAGTCTAAATGTCCAAAGTCTAAATGTCCAAAGTCTATATGTCCAAAGTCTAAATGTGCAAAGTCTAAATGTCCAAAGTCTAAATGTCCAAAGTCTAAATGCCCAAAGTCTAAATGTCCAAAGTCTAAATGTCCAAGGTCTAAATGTCCAAAGTCTAAATGTCCAAAGTCTAAATGTCCAAAGTCTAAATGTCCAAAGTTTAAATGTCCAAAGTCTATATGTCCAAAGTTTAAATGTCCAAAGTCTAAATGTCCAAAGTTTAAATGTCCAAAGTCTATATGTCCAAAGTCTAAATGTCCAAAGTCTAAATGTCCAAAGTCTAAATGTCCAAAGTCTAAATGCCCATAGTCTAAATGTCCAAAGTCTAAATGTCCAAAGTTTAAATGTCCAAAATCTGTATGTCAAAAGTCTAAATGTCCAAAGTCTATATATCCAAAGTCTAAATGTCCAAAGTCTAAATGTCCAAAGTCTAAATGTCCAAAGTCTAAATGCCCATAGTCTAAATGTCCAAAGTCTAAATGTCCAAAGTTTAAATGTCCAAAGTCTGTATGTCAAAAGTCTAAATGTCCAAAGTCTATATATCCAAAGTCTAAATGTCCAAAGTCTAAATGTCCAAAGTCTAAATGTCCAAAGTCTAAATGTCCAAAGTCTAAATGTCCAAAGTCTAAATGTCCAAGGTCTAAATGTCCAAAGTCTGTATGTCAAAAGTCTAAATGTCCAAAGTCTAAATGTCCAAAGTCTAAATGTCCAAAGTCTAAATGTCCAAAGTCTAAATGTCCAAAGTCTAAATGTCCAAAGTCTAAATGTCCAAGGTCTAAATGTCCAAAGTCTAAATGTCCAAAGTCTAAATGTCCAAAGTCTAAATGTCCAAAGTCTAAATGTCCAAAGTCTAAATGTCCAAAGTTTAAATGTCCAAAGTCTATATGTCCAAAGTTTAAATGTCCAAAGTCTAAATGTCCAAAGTTTAAATGTCCAAAGTCTATATGTCCAAAGTCTAAATGTCCAAAGTCTAAATGTCCAAAGTCTAAATGTCCAAAGTCTAAATGCCCATAGTCTAAATGTCCAAAGTCTAAATGTCCAAAGTTTAAATGTCCAAAATCTGTATGTCAAAAGTCTAAATGTCCAAAGTCTATATATCCAAAGTCTAAATGTCCAAAGTCTAAATGTCCAAAGTCTAAATGTCCAAAGTCTAAATGCCCATAGTCTAAATGTCCAAAGTCTAAATGTCCAAAGTTTAAATGTCCAAAGTCTGTATGTCAAAAGTCTAAATGTCCAAAGTCTATATATCCAAAGTCTAAATGTCCAAAGTCTAAATGTCCAAAGTCTAAATGTCCAAAGTCTAAATGTCCAAAGTCTAAATGTCCAAAGTCTAAATGTCCAAGGTCTAAATGTCCAAAGTCTGTATGTCAAAAGTCTAAATGTCCAAAGTCTAAATGTCCAAAGTCTAAATGTCCAAAGTCTAAATGTCCAAAGTCTAAATGTCCAAAGTCTAAATGTCCAAAGTCTAAATGTCCAAGGTCTAAATGTCCAAAGTCTAAATGTCCAAAGTCTAAATGTCCAAAGTCTAAATGTCCAAAGTCTAAATGTCCAAAGTCTAAATGTCCAAAGTCTAAATGTCCAAGGTCTAAATGTCGAGAGCCTGTTCAAGGCTTTAAGACGGGGTCGATTTAACGGGCTGTTTTGTCAGCGGCCGTTAATGGTTTCATCCTACACTTACCATCCGTTCATCATACTTTAGATACATAATCACAAAGTGATTTGTTTGATCGATTAGCGATCGATTACGAGACGTCTGAAGCCAGCACTACATAGCTACACAAACAACGTCAGAACGGTGTACGCGTTCGGCATGATCAGCGCCGCCTTAAAAACTTATCCTACACAATAGTTTGTCGAGTGACGGCGATTAGAACAAAAAAACTGATCGTGATTAAAAGGTAGTCAACAGCCGAGATCTAGAGCAATATCAATTATTTGTTGTTCTTTGTTTCTCATTTATAAACAGGCTAGGGTAATATCAATTATTTGTTATTCTTTGTTTCTCAGTTATAAACAGACTAGGGTAATATCAATTATTTGTTGTTCTTTGTTTCCCAGTTATAAACAGGCTAGGGTAATATCAATTATTTGTTATTCTTTGTTTCTCAGTTATAAACAGACTAGGGTAATATCAATTATTTCTTATTCTTTGTTTCTCAGTTATAAACAGGCTAGGGTAATATCAATTATTTGTTATTCTTTGTTTCTCAGTTATAAACAGGCTAGGGTAATATCAATTATTTGTTGTTCTTTGTTTCTTGTTTATAAACAGACTAGGGTAATATCAATTATTTGTTGTTCTTTGTTTCTTGTTTATAAACAGATAGAATGCACACCTTCAGTAAAATAAATTCCATTTCAAGTTTAAGATTTTGGAAGAAATCAACGAGCAAATCTTGCCACATATATGTTGGTTTTTTATGTTAGTCTATGTTGTGATGCATCAAAATGAAAAACACAAATGACAGTTTTATACCTGTACTTGTTATTATGGAATCAAACAAATAATTAATAGACACAAAGTACAATAACATATTTGGCATTTTAAAGTTATTACAGAAATTAGATGCTCTTACATTTTCCAATTTAATTCCGTTTTACTTTTTTTTTATAATAGATGCTACACACGAATCGACAATTTATACAAACAGATATTTCTCTTACGTGTGTCAGTACAATGTCAATCGTCTTGCACCAGAAATCAAACCTAATGTAGCGACAGATCTTCTGATGTATCGTCAATATTTAATGGTCTTTTTTGAAGCTTTTTCTTTGCAGTCTAACATTACGATATGTCCCAAAACTGTCTAATTATGGCTTAAAATTATGGCGTACAATTATGGCTTACAATCATGTCGAACAATCAAGTCTTACAATCATGTCGAACAATCAAGTCTTACAATCAAGTCTTACAATCATGGCTTACAATTATGGCTTACAATCATGTCGAACAATCAAGTCTTACAATCATGTCTTACAATCATGGCTTATAATCATGGCTTACAATCATGGCGTACAATCATGGCTTACAATCATGTCTTCAATCAAGTCTTACAATCATGTCGAACAATCAAGTCTTACAATCATGTCTAACAATCAAGTCTTACAATCATGTCTTACATTCATGTCTTACAATCAAGTCTTACAATCATGTCTTGCAACCGCGTCTTACAATCATGGCTTACAATTATGGCTTACAATCATGTCGAACAATCAAGTCTTACAATCATGTCTTACAATCATGGCTTATAATCATGGCTTACAATCATGGCGTACAATAAAGTCTTGCAATCGTGTCTTACAATTATGGCTTACAATCAAGGCGTACAATTACGGCTTACAATCATGTCGAACAATCAAGTCTTACAATCATGTCTTACAATTATGTCTTACAATCATGGCTTACAATCATGTCGAACAATCATGTCGAACAATGAAGTCTTACAATCATGTCGAACAATCAAGTCTTACAATCATGTTTTACAATCATGGCTTACAATCATGTCGAACAATCATGTCAAACAATCAAGTCTTACAATCATGTCTTACAATCATGTCTTACAATCATTTCTGACAATCATGGCTTACAATCATTTCTGACAATCAAGTCTTACAATCATGTCGAACAATCATGTCGAACAATCAAGTCTTACAATCATGTCTTACAATCATGGCTTATAATCATGGCTTACAATCATTTCTGACAATCATGGCTTATAATCATGTCGAACAATCATGTCTATACCATGTGTGCACAATGTTAATACAACAAGGACACCACAGTGACACTACTTTGTGCAGACACTAGTCTTTATCCTCTAACAAAGCCTATTGTCATCTATTGTTAAAATCCTGTACCCACCAAAGCTTACGATATGTTGCTGGTGATCTATCACTGATTGATTATTCTCTGCTATAAATGTTTTAGCATTACATCCCAACCAACGCAAGTCTGTTCTCAACTCGACATTTGCTGGGATAGCTCTTGGACTGCTGGTTTGTTCTCTCCTCGTGGTTCTTCTGGTTTTAGTGTAGATACGTAGAAATTATTTCATCTTCTCTCATGTATAACACTTTGCTGTAATCCTGATCGTCATATTGCAGTAGAGTGCCCTGAGTCATATATTGTGGACTTAAAGCATTGACAACGTTCGTCTGATAAGGTAATACCATGTGTAGTTAGATATTTCAACCACCTCGTCAACATATACATGATTAAACGTTGAATTATTCCCAATACAGGCTAGTTATGTCATAAATTGTTGGACCTCTCATATGACCTCGTGACTTACTTCAAACAAACATTGCTATACGTGCACAGCCTCGTGAGATAGTTGTTATTGTCAACATAAGACATACGACAGCTTTATGTAAGTTAGTAACAGTCAACATAGACATACGACAGCTTTATGTAAGTTAGTAAATAGGAACGTGAGAAGCAGATTTGACCTAGAGAAACGCTAGAACACACACAGAGAACCAGACACAGTTAATGCTAAATAACAGATAATCTTCCCGGCAACCAAAGGAAACTTGGGGGGGGGGTCAAAGAAAATTTCATAGATTGATGTCATGAAGTATTGTGCCCTGCACACAGCAAGAAAAAAAACTTTTATTAGCGCCGAGACATGTCAAGAAATTGAAGATATAAAAAGGCAAAGCAAACAGTAGACCTGGCTAAATCTAGGAAGTACAAACAACAATCTAGGCACTAAGAATATATTGCAATCTCAAAGTAAGGTCAGAAAATGCTAGGGAAAGACAAGCACACCATTTACAACACGTACCGTGGGGAAAGACAAGCACGCCATTTACAACACGTACCGTAGGGAAAGACAAGCACGCCATTTACAACACGTACCGTAGGGAAAGACAAGCACGCCATTTACAACACGTACCGTAGGGAAAGACAAGCACGCCATTTACAACACGTACCGTAGGGAAAGACAAGCACGCCATTTACAACACGTACCGTAGGGAAAGACAAGCACGCCATTTACAACACGTACCGTAGGGAAAGACAAGCACGCCATTTACAACACGTACCGTAGGGAAAGACAAGCACGCCATTTACAACACGTACCGTGGGAAGTGGAAAACTTAGAGGCGTTAAGTTCCTCAAGGAACGAAATAGAAAAGTGATGATGATGATGATGACAATGATGATGATGATCTAAGCGAACGATTATGGTTTACAAACAAAATTTAGAAGCAAACAAGAGTTTGAATATAAAAGTTAAAAAACAGTTATTTTCAATTCTATTTTATCGTCACATTAATAAAGCAACACAATCAAAGATCGCGATACCATTTATTAATTTTTATAAAACACACATCCAACAAAATAAACTTAGCTCTCAATAATATGTAAATATTAGAGAATGCTCAAATCTCTCAATTTCTAAAAAGGTTTTAAATATAAGTACAAGATATAAAGTCGTATTAATTTCATACATTTTCGAAACATTTGAAATTAAGGGTCCAGATTTAATTATGACAACTTTTGGAAAAACAAAAAGTATCCCAATCGACAGGTAGAGCTGCATACACCTGACAACCACCTGACAACCACCTGACAACCACCTGACAACCACCTGACAACCACCTGACATCCATCTGACAACCACCTGACTACGATGTCAAGAAAACATCTACAGCGTTTCACCTGTCTTCAAATGGTGCTATACCTTTCATCAGGTAATGTCAACATTTCCTCATTGAACAGTCGCGCTAAATTGGGTACTATTTTTACAATCATGAAACTCAAATTGATGTTTTCTTTCAATATGTCTTATGATATGAATAGAGTTGAGATAAGGATTATGGGTTGTGTTGCAATAGTTGGGTTAGATCAGGGTTTTAGGTGTGTTAAAGTTAAGCCGTGTTCTCTGCAGGTTATCACATGTGGATTTCATACTCTATGTGTTAGTGTGTCAAAAAGCTCGACATATTCCCAGATGGAAGTAAAATATATCTTTTAAAAATCTGAATTAGTTGCAGCTAGCGGGCAGTCTCCTGCAGTGGTGACGTCACAGTTCGTCTTGTTGACCAACCCGTACCTGAAGTTTGTCCCACTTGGTGTGGAACTTTCTGGAGTTGATCGCTTCACCTGTGCCAGACAATGTGTCCTGAGAAACAATTCTTGTTTTAATTTTAACTTTAACGAGCTTCTCAACACTTGCAGTCTAGGTACATCATACGATTTTACATATTATTTGTGTATTATCTTACTTGATTAAATGCATTAATTACTGCTACACTAATCCTAGAGGTAATAGACCATACGGCTCTGTATTAGGTGACACGGGGGGGTGTCGTGAGAGACTAAGAATGTGATATGTAACTGTATTGATGGGAGCTACGATATCTAACTGCTCATCTACAGGTTCCTGGCCAGCGTCCTCACCTGTAGCCATCAGTCACGTGAACACTTACATGAGCACACAGACGTGTAACCCTACAGCCAAATTTACCCTTCAACAGAGTGGCGACGTCAGGGTTTGTGTCAGAATATCAGCTACCACCTCAACTTTCTTTGTTGCTGAGGCTGCGTGTAAAGGTAAGGGCTACATGGTATAAAGGTTATGGCTACATTTTGTAAAGATAATGGCTACATTGTGTAAAGGTAATGGCTACATTGTGTTAAGGTAATGACTACATAGTGTAAAGGTAAGGGCTACATGGTATAAAGGTAAGAACTACTTCGTGTAAAGGTAATGGGTGTGAAGGTAATGGCTGCATAGTGTAATGTAATGGCTACGTTATGAAAAGTAATGGCTACATTGTGTAAAATGTAATGGCAACATGGTATAAAGGTAATGGCTCCATAGTGTAACGGTAATTGCTACATTGTGTAAAGGTAATTGCTACATTGTGTAAAGGTAATGGCTACATAGTAGCAACAAGAGAAGAAAAAACTGTCTTAAATGTGCTGAAATCAAACGGTGAACCAAACGTGTCTGCTTATTGCAGGCTACTAGTGTACATTTATCTTATGGTGATACGTGTCTACTTATGTAGGATACTAATGCATATTTCTCATAAGGTGATACGTATACAATATTTATGTTAAAGATTTTTTTCAGTAGAAATGATTATTTAAGTTGCTATCTTTTAAATAGTTAGTCTTTTAACTTAATCAAACGCTTTTAACTCAGAAATTAAAGTAATATGACTTCAGCAGTTTAGTCCTTGCATCACGTAATAACATTTCATTTACCTGCAGAATTTGGAGGAAACCTCTACACACCGAAGACATCAGATAAACTAAATATCTTGAAGACCTTCGGTAACAGAAACGTGTGGGTTGGCCTGGATGATATCCAGAAAGAGGGCGAGTTTAGATGGGTGGATGACGACTCCGTTGTCTCCAAGTCTTGGATGTCAACAATCTTTAACACCAGTAGGTCCTTCTCTTACCATAGACCCGTCCCTACAGCTGAATGCTCAACGGTACTTACAACATGTCCATTCCTTTTAACACACTCGTCTTACCATTTTCAAGACCAGACCATATATATGGACCATCTGTGATGTTTCTGTTCCAAAACAGCTACATGAGTACGTATCATCTATTTACAGATGAACCTAATGGTGGAGCATCTGAAAACTGTGGCGCCTATAACCCTTCTAGCCAAGGATTGAACGACGTCGGATGTGCTACTCTCTACGGATACTTGTGTGAGATGCCAGAACTGATTTATTGAAACTTTCTTGAGATTATATCAGTTACTCATCTTTGCTTTGTTGGAGAATGTTTGTATTATTTTCTCTTCATTATGTGCTATAAAAAAAACAATGTAAGACCTCAGCATGTTTAGTGTCCAGACGACCTTACTGACCCAACTAGCGTCAGGTACTGATCAGATCTGCTGGGGTACCTCGATTATATACACAATGCTCAGATTTATGTAAAAGTCTGTTGAATACAAGTTCAAGGTTTTCATTTCTGTCACCGGACTAAGGTTGAGATGAAAACTACGTGTTGTGTTTGTATTGTCGTTAGCGTTTTCACCTCTACGTGTTTTCTTTCATTGTGCTTGTATTATAGTTGCTTCCTTCATCTCTAAGTGTCTTTTATTTTGCTTATATTTATATATAGTCTTTTATACCAGCTTCTCAAATTTACAGCGGTTTTTTGGAAGGGTTATAAAAAAAACCTTCCATATTTTATTTTGAAAATGTGAATAGTTTGTAGAGACACGTTTGAAACAAGCACACTTGCAATTATCTGCTTTTAACTGTTTTCAAATATTAAAACTAGCGTTTAAATGACGTGTTCTGTGTGGTTATTAAAATATAAAACATTATTATTAACATTACAATTTTTTCTTATAGTTATACAAGTTAAAGACGCGTTACACATAAGTGGGGTTGTAGCTCTTATTGAATGTTTTTACAACGTTCTACTGCAGCGAATGTCGGG